CTTGAAGTCAAATCCGCATTTATAGTGCAATTCTTTTAGGACTGATGTAATACAGTCTCAAAAGGGTGTTCTGGAGAATAGCCTCCACTTTCTGCACTAGCTCCAAGTTTCAAACCTTCTTCAAAGGCAGATCTATAGAAAACACACAACAATAATCCAAAGAAGAGGTTATAAAAGCATGCCAGGCCTATCCAAGGTGAGTTGTAACCAACCCACTCCAGAATACCCTTTTGAGACTGTATTACATCAGTCCTAAAAGTTTTGCACTATAAATGCGGATTTGACTTCAAAGTTATGGTAATGTTTAGGACCCTTAATAGTTTAGGGCCATATTCACAGCACACAGCAAAATAGATGATTAAGATTGCTACAGTATACAAAATTGGCTGAATGCTGTCCAGGCCATTTATGCCACCCAGACTCAAATGACAGAACAGCACACAGCAAAATAGATGATTAAGATTGCTACAGTATACAAAATTGGCTGAATGCTGTCCAGGCCATTTATGCCACCCAGACTCAAATGACAGATTAGGGCCATATTCACAGCACACAGCAAAATAGATGATTAAGATTGCTACAGTATACAAAATTGGCTGAATGCTGTCCAGGCCATTTATGCCACCCAGACTCAAATGACAGAGGTGAATTCAGGAATACACCAAGGCTGGGGTTTAAGGCACTAATCTTTTTCCTTATTTGCAAAAAACTGCAGTAAAAATCATATAGCTGAAAACTGTTTTTTGTTGCCAAGGTCCAGTTGCATGATCTGTAGGGAGGGGGCATGCAGATCATTGGCTGCCCATTCTTGCCATGTGCCAGTTTTATAAGCCACATAGCTTGGTGCAAACAACATGCTAAGCTAAAACCAAAGAAACCATATTATAACTTAACCCAGGAATTCTCAAACTGTAGGTTGTGACCCTTGAAAGTTCTGAAAGAAAAAATGTTTTGGGATTGCACATACAAAACAGAATCATTGCCAGAATTCGCTCCTGGATAAGCCAACAACAAAGTCAGGATTTTCTACAGTTTATGCTATATACAGCAAATGTTGATCCAAAATAAATGTGGAACAAGAAATGGCTGTCTAAAAAATAAAATCCAGATTTCAGGAATTATGCAAAACCAAACAAGCTCATCCACCATAATAAAAATATGGCCTTAAATTTTATTGTTCATTTCTAGTGAAAAGGTTTTATTTTACAAAGCAGCAATTATTGTTTTATTTGGGGAGGGGGTTGGACTAGGAAATCTCCAAGATCCCTTCCAAACTTATAATTCAAAGTGACATTTCTTTCTTGCTCAACCCTAGCCCAAATGAAATCATTAACATTATTCTTGGTGGGGTTGAAAATGATATTCATTTATCATTTTAGGAGGTCATTTATCCTTTTAGAATCCCTGACTCAGCATAATATGTGAAACCAAGTCTGTATTTAATTTGATAAGAAAAAAAAAAGGAAACCAACTTTCATTGCCCCATCCTGCCTGCTGTTTTTGATCTTTAAATACATAAACCTAGAAAAATATTTCAGGTAATTTGCAATGTCATCTAGAAAGTACTTCCAGCTTGTTCCACAGTAGGACTAAATAAGAACGTATAGGACTGCAGCGTAAGTGTGGATATATTTCTCCAATCAGTTTAATAACGAGGAGACATTACCTTAAAATAAGCTCCACTGTACTTAGCGGAAATTACTCCTGGCTAAATAATTCTAGAATGAAGTTGCATACAGGACAGTACCAACTTCTATAACATCTACAGTCATTGTTTTTCATTTCTTAAAAAAAAAATTGCTTGTTATTAAGACCAATGAAAACCATGCAAGCCCACCAGTTATTCAGTGAAGTACATTTATATGCCATCCACTTAAATAACATTATCTAAATAGCTTTCAACAAACTGTGAAGGAATTTAATTATCACATTAAGTATAAAATCAAAATCAGAATAGATAAGAATGAGCAGCAAAATCCTAACACTCAGATGCCCAGAGTACATGAGCTATTTAGAAAGTTAGTTATAGTTAGCCATTTGTTCAAACACACCCCATTTGGGACTTAAGTGAACCATCAGCATTAGACATGTGGCTACTCCAGCATAACGCTGGATACGTAACCTCCATGAATTATCAACAAAAAGCACATTGGTACTGCTGATCAATGCTGGGCCCGTCACCATTCTGCTAATCAAAATGTAGTACGTATGCAGCACTAAACCAGTACTCTCATTACCCACGAACCTGCTCCATTCCTCCTGCCAGAAAGTGTGACAGCAAATGTCAACAATCTACCTTTGGTTTGTCTATTGTTACGTGAATTAGAAACACTAGCTTGTTTCTCTCTGAACAAGTCAAGTTGTGACTTGCTACAAGAAGAACAAACTAGAGAACCTGGTTTATATGTACCAACAAATAACAAATCTGGATGCCTCCATCTGCTGTAACTATAAGAGCTGGCAAGAAGCCTGAAGTGGGAGTCATGAAATACAGTGCGCCAGTTTGTTGTTTACTGAGTGCTCTACAGGCAGAAATAAAAATTATATATTGAAATTATTACTATTCTCAGAACACAAAATTCTGGCTTCATATTGCAGCCACAGCATGGGTTCTTTTGCTTCCTATTTCACTAATGCTATAATGACTGGGTTAACACATCACAGTAAGCCATGATTTAGTTAACAATGGTTTACTAAATAAATCACAATTGGCTGTACTTATTCTGTACATTAAGTCATAACATATGGCTTATAAGCACAGTGGTTGAGTTCACAGTAATGCTAAGTCGGGGGTGGGGTGCAGAACCTTTCTTGCAAAAGGGCCACATTTAAGTCTTTCAGTGGCATGACAGGGGCTCCCCCCAAATGGGTGGCGCCGGAACAAAATCTAAGTTTGATTAATAATAAATGTATTCAATATATTTATTCTGTCACTTTAAACATTATTTGGTGACAAACCTTTGGACTTTCAGGAGCAGTGTATTGTACTGGAGTTTCACATTATGCTCCTCCATGCTAAGCCACAATCAAACCAACCACATACAGGTTCAGTGCAATGTTGAAATCCATCAGTCTCCATTAAATGAGGTTCAGCATTATTGCAAGAACATTCATTTCATCTCAAAAGTCTGCCTAGCCAAAAAGCTCTTTTGCATCTTCTTACAAAGCAAAATGCTTTAATAAAGAACAGCTAGACTCATCAAGTCTTAAGTACTATGACAAAGCCAGATCTGAGAGCAAGCCAGCAACAGTGAGACAGCAGAGGCAGACTTGCACCTCCACGCTCAACGAACTTTGACACAGACTTGAACTGAAAGCCCTATTCTGAAAGCTTGCCTTTCAGAACTTGTTTCCTCTACACTCCTTGATTGTTCAAGGGCACAAACACTTGCCCCCACCCAGACTGGCAACTGTACAGAACAGAAGATGCCTTAGGGGAGTGTCATCTGGTGTGACTGTACCTTCCTAATACTCCTCCTAGCTGAGTAAAATCTGGATGGATGATTCACCCATATCTCATACATTTCAAGTAAATATTACCTCAAGAATTATTATGCAATGGCAGTAACATGCCTGTATTTCAGGGGAACTGAAACCAAAAATCCACATATAGTAGCATTTACGGGCTAAAGCACGTCTTCAAGCAGGATTCCCAAATGCCTGGCTGTCATTTTTACACCAGCAGGCCTGATAGGCTTACTTGTTGAAAGACCCCTCTCTGCTTATGAAGCTGGCTCTTTCTCAAAACGTAAATGAAAAAAAGTGGATCAATGTTATTCCACGTAGTCAAAGTTAACCCTTTATCTCAAACCCAACTTTCTTAAAGAAGAGTACAACATTTTGTTTTTGTCTCTTTTTCCTTTCTTGTACCATTTTTCGATTCTTCCTGTGTACAAAAGCAATAAAAGGAAAAGAAAAGAAAACCCTTCCAAGGATCACTTTGTACCTGGCATAACAGAGAGCCAGTCTGGTGGAGTGGTGAACGTGCTGGCCTAGGAACCAGGAGACTCTGAGTTCTAGTCCTCCCTTAGGCACAGAAGCCAGGTGGGTGACTTTGGGCCAGGTCCTCTCTCTCTCTCTCTCAGCCCAACTCACTTCACAGGGTCGTTGTTGTGGGGAAAATCGGGGTAATAGATATGTCTGCCGCCTGGAGTTGACCTCCTTTTATTTATTTACACGCGCGCACACACATAAAGGCGGGATAAAAATATAATAACGATAACAACAGCCATCCTCCTCTGCAAAATAAGACTCCAGTCCTTCAACCAGAGGGAGGGGGCACCTTCAGCTTTCCGGCAGACCCTCCGGTTGGTTGCCACGCGGAAAGCGAGACCCCCGCCGCTTTGCCCCGTGGAGCTGAGCTCCCGCACCAGCATCGGCCCGCATCCGTGCAGCCCGCATCCGGCGACGAAGCCGAGAGCCCGACCCGACCCTCCCCGCGCCTCGCCTGCTTGCTGCCTTCGCGGGGCGGCAACGCCCATCCTCCCCACGCGGGGCTGCAG